ATGGATTCCTAACTATTGCACCAAAGAGCCTGATTTCCAATCAAGTACATCAGTATGTCAGAAAGGAAGTAAAGGGGCATTCCAGGCAGCAGCAAAGAAGCGGCACCATAAAGAGGACAGTCATCGTAAGGAGGCTACTGAAACTGCATCCAGAAGACTAAAGGCAGGCCCAGGGAAAACACAGTTAAATGCTGATCATGCCGTAAAGAAGAAAGGCAACCAAGGGTCACGACCTCTGAAGGAAGCTTCAACTGAACATTTGAGACGTTCATTTTGGCAGCTAGACAAAATCAGGGACAATGTAGCCATTGTGTATGGAGAACACAGGCGCACCACACGACTTTCAGAGAAGAACCCACCAAAACGCAGGATTAGAAAACCCAAATGGCTTCTGGAAGACTCAGGAACTCTTGAAGAGAATAATGTTGCTCCAAAGATCAAGAAGCATGGGTTGAAACATCAAAGGCACCATCGATCCTCTGTCATGAAGAGGTCTGAATCTGGTCAGCTCAAGAACAGTACAAAACTCAGACCTTCAGTAAATTCTCACTTAAAGGCTAGGGAAAACAACTGTGGGCACCAGAGAGGGTTTTCTTTTGACTGTGTTAAACCAGCCACCCCTCCACAAGTAATTCTTGAACTCTCTCTACCAGACAATGAACTGATGGGTACTTTTCCTGAGGATACTTGCAACAGACATCGAGGGTTCCCTCAAATACTTCTTTACAAACCTACAGTGAAGTTTCCAGCCACATCACAATCTCTGAAGACTGTACATCGCAACGAGGTGGTTCTTAGAGCGCGGGATGCAGCTATGTTTGTACAGCAGCTACACTGTTATGTTCGGCGGCAGAAAGGAAAGGGTGTTGGTTTGAATATTCAAGGCTCAGTATCAACAATCACACGCTCCTCTGTGCAGGGAAGTCCTCCTAAAGATTCACCAAGAGAGCTGTGTGAAAAACCTGCTGCTGAGATGAAAGGCAGCTTTGCCTCTCCAACACCAGCAGAAGCTGAGTTTAGAGAATCCCCTGCTTTAGAAAAAGGCCTTCAAGCTCAAGCCACAAAACCAGACTCACAAAAGTCTACTTCAGCAGTAGAGCTCTTTGAAAAGTCTGCTGCTGAAGTAAAACCTACCACTGCATCAGAGACTTCAGGAGCAGCTGAAGTGACAGAAATTCCAGCATTGTATAAGGTCCCTCAAGCTCAAACCACAGCTTCAGCAAGAGAGCACATTGAAGATCCTGCTGTTGAGATGCAAGTCACTATTGCCTCACAAGCCCTAAATAAAGCAGCTCAAGTAACACAGTCCCCAGGTTGCATCTCAAAAACAACACTTTCAAATGAGGTTTCACAGACTGCGACTGCACACAGCAATCAGATGGAAGTTAGCGATGACACCTCTTTAGTCTGTAACATTTCAGATACAGCAGCTGCTGATTGCACGCGCTCACAGTCCCACGATGTTGATCTTAGAGAACAAGTACTGAAGTCATCCTCTCAGGCTGAAGCAGGCAAAAATCCAATAGCACAGCCAAAAGCATACAGTCCAGAGGTGCTCACCACAGTTAGCAACAGCATTGTTGAGCCAGATGTATACAGTGAAAGTGACACAAGCCCTGGAGGAAATGTAGGCACTCTAAGTAAGGTATCAGAGACTCTGGCCACTTATACACCTACAGATCATGACAGTATAAATGACATATCTGCTCTGACGTTTGTAACAGAGATGGTTACTGAACTTGCACCTGTGACACTTGCTCGAGATCTGGAGCATGAGAAACACAGAGTTCCAGGGAACAGTGCCTCCAACGAGTCTACTGCTGGAAGAAAACCTATAATACCTCATAGACTACAGACTACCTCCAGAAGGTCTGTATCAGAACAGGTCTCCACAGCTGCAGATGTCCAAGGAAAGAAAAGGAAAGCAGGAATTGAGGATGTTGCTCCAGAAACATCTGAGAACAGTGGGTCTATGGAAATGCCACCAGAATCAGAGGAGTCCAAGTTGGAGTACAGCTGTATGTTCTGCCACAAGGTCTTTAAGGGAAGTCGAGTTGTAGCACATGCAATGTTCCATTTTCGTAAAGACGAGTGCATGTTCTGTGGAGCTGTGTTCAAAGATGACCTCCTGGCCATGATGCACCTGTCTGGTCATATAGAGAAACTAAAGAGGAGCAAAGACTCGGTCAGTAACAAAACCCAAAATCAGGTCTTTGAGAACAAAGAGATCTCCACACATAAAACCTCTGCCAAAGCTAAGACTATAAATGCATCTTCTGGTCATAGTAGTGGGAAGCTGAAGAAATCAGCTTTCTGCCCTGAATCTGTAACCCTTCCAGATTCAATGATGTCTGAACCCCGAAAGTTGAGATCTAATGACAAGCCTGTGGATGGACAGCTTTTACAAGAAAAGAAACAGAATACATTGAAGCACATTAATAGTAAATCTCCAGTTCATAAAGTTAATGGTCATATTGGCAGAAAGCAAGAGCTTGATAGAGCAAAGAAGGACTTGGAAGCCAAGCAGCCACCTACACAGCCGGAGAGTTCCCAAGACGGAACAAGTACTAGATATGAGAATTTTAAACTGCCAGAAAACCAAAATATACAAGTGGATTCATCTGCATCTTCAGTCCAGGTAGAGAAAGCTTTTGGCTGTTTCAGTGAAGATAAAGAGGCAGAATCTCTGCAGGTCCTGAAGACTGCCCCAAAACAAAATGGGAAATTTGTTGAAGAGAAAAATGTGGAGCCACAGGAGAGAGTTTGTTGTCCTGTGGATGGATGTGCTTGGTTCACAGACCTGTCAAAAAAACGTGTTGCACTCCTATACCATGCTCTTGAAAATCACTATGGTGATGTCAAACCTTTAGAACTGGCGTTTCGTATTGGAAACAGTAAATGTAGTATTTGCATGAGGGTTTTGTGGAGTTTCAGACATTTTCTGCACCATGTTGAAAGGCACAGACTTGCTCCTCGGCATCCCTGCCTTCACCAGGGCTGTACTGCCAGGTTCAAAACCGGAATGGAAATGAGACGCCATGCCAGGAAACACAGTCCGCTGCAGGCAGTGTGCTGCCTCCCTGGTTGTTCTCAGCGATTTATTTGTCTCTGGGCACTAAATCTTCATGAGAGAGAGCACTTTGCTTCCAAACCCAGTAAACCAGACAAGAACACAAGCACGCAAACAGATGACAAAATTCAGACTGGGAAGAAACAAGATCATAAATCAGCAGATACTGCTTCAACCACTGTTCTAAATAAGACTGAGAGTGTAAAGGCTGCTCGTAAGTTAAGGGCGCAAGCTATGCATAACTTGGCAAGAAAAAATGTTAAGGCTCCAACTTTTTTCAATGTCAGAACATCTCTGTTGAAACAGGGGTTGAAAGAGAGAAATGATTCAAATGTCTTAAAGAATCTTTCCAACAAGGACACCTCCACACAGCCTACTGTTCTTAATCTGAGACTAAGGCAAACATTAAGAAAGGGACAAGCAACAAACACCACCCTGGCAGCTCCCAAAACTCTCAGAGTCATCTCATCATTGTTCAAACACAGTAGCAAAGTGAGGCACAGATTAAAGCAGGTGAAAGTAAACACAAAAGATTCTAAAAGACGAGGGCATCCTCCTAAATCGAAGACAGCTGTGTACGATGAAAACACTAGTGCTGCTAGTGAAACTGTGAAAGAAAAACCTGTTCTGCAGAAGGATCTGAAGAGGCCTGCTCGGCTTGTAAGGTGTTCTCAAGTAGCAGAGACCTCAAATGTGAGCAACAAGTTAAAAGAGAAAAATGGCAAGCAGGCCCAAGATGAAGTCAGAACTACAGAAACAACTGATGAATTAAAGGCAAATAAAGCAGTTAACAAGCTGGTTAAGAAGAATCATGTTAAACAAAAAGGGGTTTTGCGTAATACCCCTACAGCTGTTGTGACAGCTTTAAATCATTTGATCACTTCCACCTCAGCAGACGGAGCAGAGAAACTAACAACCGACAAAATGAAGAAACTGCACAAAGTGAGAAAACATGGTGCTCCTAAAGAAACAGTAAGAAACTGCACAAAGTGAGAAAACATGCTGCTCCTAAAGAAAACGGTAGTCAGACTGCTTCTTCAGACTCCAGTAAGTCAAAGAGGCACAAAGTTATAAATGGCAGGTTCGGCAGAACAACAGTCAAGAAAAAATGCCCTTCCAAGTCGAAATCTGTTGTCCCACAAGTTGAGGTCAAAGCATCAGCTTCAGTAGAGGATGAAAAAGCAAATACAGGAAACACAGACTCCACACAGAACAACTCGGGCAAGTTTGTGCCTGCTGTTGCAGCTGACAGTTTAAATGAGACAACTGCATCACCCACCACTTCAGGAGACAAAACTTGGAAGCTCACAGCAAAGTCAAATAAATCACACATCATGAAAAAAGAAAAGAATACTCAAAGTGCTTCTTCAGATTCAGGCAAGGCAAATAAGAAGCACAGAAACATTAATATAAATGGGGACAGAATTGCAGTCAAGGTAAAACGGCCACGTGTAGATCAGGGCAACACCTCTGCGAAGACAAAGATTGCTAGGCCAAAAGATGAAGTCCAGCAACCGGTTGAAGCCAAAGCAAAGACATTAGTAAATATCACTCTTGATGAGGTGGGGAAAGTAAAGGAAGAGGCCTCGGATGCCACATTTGACAGTACTGGCCCCTCTGCTGCTTTTAACGGCCTAAATGAAAAACCTGAAGAAAACGTGCAGAAGGTAACAACAGGGAAAAAATCAAAAAAATCAAATGTTACAAAAATCACAGGCCCCAACAAAGCAAGCAAGAAACGCAAGGATATTTGTAAAGAAAGCAGCACAAAGATTGTTAAGAAAAAATGCAAAGATCAAAGGGTTCCTTCAGCATCTAAGAAGCTTGTGAAGTCAAACGTCGAGCCACTTGGAGAGATCCAGGCACAGGTAGTGGAGAACTCTGTTGGTGAGGAGGGAAACACTT